GAGACCAGCCTAGTGATCTCGATTGGATTGATTAGGTCTCTTGGTGGCAAGGGACAGAACCCAATTATGGGTACAAAAAAGAACTTTATTGGTAGACATAGAAGTACCAGGTTGTCCTTTTTGAGGAGCTGACCAGAGTCAGGTATGGGGTACTGGCAAATACATCCCAACTAGAAGAAGGGTTGAACAGTCAACCTAGGGAAGAGCAGGCGACCAGCCTGGTGATCTCAACATGGTGAAACCCTGTCTCTACTAAAAATACAAAAATTAGCTGGACATGGTGCTGCATACCTGTAATCCCAGCTACTAGGGAGGCTGAGGCAGGAGAATCACTTGAACCCAGGAGGCGGAGGTTGCAGTGAGCTGAGATCGCACCATTGCACTCCACCCTGGGCAACAAGAGCAAAACTCCATCTCAAAAGAGAGAGAATGCAGGACAAGATGGCAGGTGTGGGTCACCAGGGCCACAGTCTGGGGTAACAGATGAGAACAGTCTCTGGGTCAGGATTGGCCGGCGGGGAGCTGGGGATGAGGAAAAGAAATACATCTAGCTGTGTGTGCCCCTTGAGAGCCAGAGGTGATGAGAGTCACACTCACAAAGCTTCTCTAGTGGGACCTGCAAAAAAAGTCCCACAGTCCTCCTTGTGAGAGAGCAGATGAAATAGAGGCTTACTGATTTGTCTCTCCAGCCCTCCTCTCAAATTCTGGGGAGAGGCCCCTTTCTTCTAGTAACCCGCTTCTTCCTCCTTTCCACCCACAGGGTTCCCATGGAAAGAGCCATTTTACTCTATCCTCAGTTCATCATGGACTGATCTAGGGGCAGGGCCTCTACCCAAGCTGAACCCATTGACTTCCTCCCTGGGATTTTTTTGAGCTGCTACTGAGATAGAGTCCATTTCTCATTAGGAACTGTGGCTGTGAGGGCTGAGGCTCAGGAGGCATCTGAAGCTGATCTACAGTCAGAGAGGAGCAGAGACAAGGCATATAGGTGGAAGGAGGAAGACAGGTTCCAGGCAGCATTCAAGACTTGAGTTCAACCGGGCGTGGTGGCTCATGCCTATAATTCCACCATTTTTGAAGGCCTAGGTGGGTAGATCACTTGAGGTCAGGAGTTTGAGACCAGCCTGGCCAATATGGTGAAGCCCGTCTCTGCTAAAAATACAAAAATTAGCTAGGTGTGGTGGTGCACATCTGTAATCCCAGCTACTAGGGAGACTGAGGCAGGAGAATCACTGGAACTCAGGAGGTGGAGGTTGCAGTGAGCCAAAATCATGCCACTGCATTCCAGCCTGGGCAACAGAGCGAGGCTCCATCTCAAAAGAGAAAAAAAAAAAAAGACTTGAGTTCAGACGTTCCTGGGGTCCAGCAGCAGCCCTGCTCTTCCCTAGGTTGACTGTTCAACCCTTCTTCTAGTTGGGATGTATTTGCCAGTACCCCATACCTGACTCTGGCCAGCTCCTCAAAAAGGACAACCTGGTACTTCTATATCTACCAATAAAGTTCTTTTTTGTACCCATAATTGGGTTCTGTCCCTTGCCACCAAGGGACCTAATCAATCCAATCTGTCATCCATCACTGCTCCATGAGGAAGACACGACCAGCATGTTCCAGAAAGCTGGGGCAGTCAAGCCAACCAGAGGGGCCCAGGTGCCTGATGGTGACATGAGGCCAAGTATGGGGGAGGCTCAGGCCCAGAGCAGCTGGCGCCAGTTCTGGGCTGCAGAGCCCTGGTCAGAAGCCAATCGTTTGGGCCAGGCTGGCTCCTGGTACCCAAAACAGAAGCCAAAGAGGTTGGGTTTAGAGGTGGCTGCTCTAAATTTGTCATCACTCAGATGCCTGAGCCAGAAATGTTGCCTTTCCTCTGACCCTCAGGGAATCACTATAAGAACCACTGGGCTTTTCCTGGAAGTCCAGAGCCTAGTCAGATCATTCCAGAAACCTTCAGCCAGATGTCCCTCAGAGCCAACATGGATTAGGGAGGGAAGAAAAGGTGGGAGGTAGAGGGACAGGGGAGGAAGGGTTGAGGAGAGGAACAGTGAAGAGGAACCTGCAGAAAAATCCATTCTTATTTCTTTGTCAGCAGTTCCTACAAAGTGCTTCCCCCACCCTCTTTCCTTCTTCCAGCAGAGATCCAGACTTTATTCTCCTTTCAAGAAAGCTTTTCTGCTCAGCTGGAAGGAGCGGTCAGGAGTGCAGGGCTGATCAGCAAGATTCCACAAAGCTTCTGAGCAGCCCTTCTGGGTCTCAGCTACTCCCCAGGGGTGTCTCAGTCCTGGGCAAGGATCCTAGAGGATGCTCATTTTAGGGTAGAGAGAGCTGGACCCTGTGACTACGCAGCTGGCCCTCCTGTCTGCAGTGGAGACACAGCTGAAGACTCTGGCCCCTGTTCGCTGCCTGTGGAATGAGACGTAGTGTAATTGAATAAAAGCCAACAGCTGCTGTGCTGGGAATCTCCTGTTGGGAGATGGAGAAGACAGTGCCCTGCCATCTCCCCCACACTCATTACCCTACTCCCAGTGTCCTTTCCCTCGTGTCATTTCATGGAAGGGTCATAAGTGTCCCTAGAGGAAGGCCAACGATATCCATCATCTTGGCATTCGTGGAAGGATGAGCGTCAGAGTTGGGGGCCCACCCACTGAGAGCCGCACAGCACATCCCCATAGAACTCTGTTCTGCTTACTGCACCACTCTGCCTTCCCCTGCAGCCCTGGTCCCACCTCTGTGCCTCCCTGCAGCTTGGGCTTCCTCCAGCTCTTCTAGCTTTTGTCCTGGATGAACTTTTTACACAACTTCAGCCTGTCTGACTTGGCTGTCACCTAGTTGCTGTCACCATCTCTCTGTTCCACTTACTTTCTGTCCTCTCCCTGTCACTCATTCCCCTTGAGACAGCCCCTGCCTCAGGGACAATTGGCACCCTGCAATGTCAAGGGAAATGCAGGCTGACTGGTAGGGTTTGCTGTGCTGTGCAAAGCTGCCTGGGCCCCCACACCCATCCCCGTCCCTCTCCCCTTCCTCTCCCAGCCTTCTGAGACACCCCTGAGGGCTCTTCAAGGCAAACCCAAAGCTGGCTAGTTCCCAGGGTGCTTGGAAGGTAGGGCGGGGAGAGGAAACTGTTCATTAAAATTCACATCAAGAGAAATAACTAATCAGAAACATTTTGTTGCTTAATTGGTTTTAAACTTCAGGAAGATTCCTCATTAGCCTAGGGGTGACCTCTGCAGAGCGGCCCAAGTGGGAAAGGAAGGATTGGGGTAGGGATGCAGAAGCCCCTTCTCCTGCCAGCCTGCCCCCGACTCTCCAGCTGGGCCATCAGAGATGCTCCTACGCTTCCTGCTGTGGGTTCTCAGAGCCAAGCTCTGGGTTTGCACTCCTCTTCTTCCTTCAAGCTCCCTTTTCCAGGAAGCCTGCTGCTAGAGTCTGAATGTTTGTCCTTCAAAATTCATGAGATGAAACCAAATCCCCAGTATGATAGTATTAGGGTGAGCCTTTGGGAGGTGATTAGGTCATGATGGCAGAGGGTGGGTGATCCGCCCACCTTGGTCCAAAGTGCTGGGATTACAGGCTTGAGTCACTGTGCCCAGCCCACACTGTAGGTACCTTTTGATGTATTGATTGTGCTTCCCAGCCTGAGAGCTGAAGTTTTCTCCCCATTCCTCTCATTAACTCCCGTTTCTCCCTCTTCCTCTGCCTCCCTGCTCCTCCCACTCTTCTCTCTTCTCTCCCTCCTCCTCTTTCCCCTTCTCTTCCTCCCACCCACCACCACTTCTCCTTCCTCCCAAGTCAACTCCCCTGGTGGCTAAAGGAAACACCAGATCAGTGGCCACCTCCAAGGCACACTAGAGCCCCCCATCATTTTCATCAGCATTCCAGTTGATAATTCTCAAATCCGGGCCCCATTCCAACTTCCAACCAGACTGCTGCCTTCTGCCCGGGAGTCTGGGGAGGGGGCACTGGAAACCCATTGTATTCAGAGAGAGGGAAGAACTTAGCTTGGAGAAATGAAGACTGGGGAGGTTACAATGACTCTTCATATTTTGTCCTGTGTAGGCCAGAAGCACAGAGCCAGGACAGGTGCTGGAATGAATTTGAAGAAGAGTAGTGAACAACCACTTGTTTTGTTTGCCCAGGCTTCTAGAAACAGCATTCCTTTCTTTGGGGAACCTACCCTTCCACACGCCATATGGTTTCAACATGGTTACCACTTAGTGATATGGTCTCCTAGCCTCAGGTCATGGGACAACACCTGGCCAGTCATAAGCGCCCATGGCCCTGTCTGTGGTGATTGGCTTAGAGATGAGCATGGGACCCAAGCCTGGCCTCTCTCAATCCTCCCTGAGAATGTACGTGTGATCACTGGGAGAAAGATTCTCTATCTTCTGGTTCCCCAAGCTGGGATGAGATATGCTGGGAATTGTTGGTGACTTCATGCCAATCACACAGAGAAACAGAGCCAAGAGTTGCAGGGAGAGAGAAGAAAAGTCCTGACAACATTGTTTAGGTCTCTAGAGCCCTTGAGGTCACTTCTGTTGCTACCCTTCCCAATTTCTTGGGCCAATACATTCCCTATTTTGGTGAGCCAGTGAGTTGAATTTCTGTCACTTCAACTCAGAGTTCCCGATTGACGTAAGAAGTTTCTCACAGTGGGAGCTGTCCAAATGGGGCTGGGCCACCTTGGGAGGTGGCAGCTCCCAGAAAGAACTGGGCAACCTCCGGCCAGGGACACTGGAGAGAAAATTTCTGGGTCCAATTATGCCAGATAACAGCTAATATTTATTGAGTGCCTGGAAATTTATAGATATTACCTCAATCCTCAAAACACCCGTGTGGGGAGGCATTCACCCCATTTTATAGATGAGGAAACAGAATCTCTGGGAGGTTCATTAACTTGTCAGGGTGGCACAGATCCAGGGTGAAGTGCAAGTCTTTTTGACTCCAGAACTCCTGCTCCTTAAGTCCAAAGATTCAGAGGCTCTTTGCCCACACCCTTCCTCAAAGCCTAGATGCCCCTGGAGGGGCAAATGCAGTCCTGGTTTCTGCCGTCAGCTCAGCAACTCCTAAATAGGGCAGTCGATAGAGGCACGGTGCTGTGTCCAGGTGAGCAGAGAAGCACATGGCCCCAGTTGGCTCTGGGGACAGGCTGTCTGCAGAAGTGGAAGAAACCCAGAGGAGGAGAGAGGAGCCTCTCGGGAGGGGGCAGGTGAGCAGGAGGTGTGTCTTCCTCCAAAGACCTGGATGAGGGGTTCTGTACCTTTTATGTGTCATGAACACATTTGGGAATCTGATGGAATCTGTGAGCCCTCTAGAAACAAGGACATGTGCAAATATGCAATGTATTGCACACAAGTCCGGGGGCTCCAGAAACCTCCTGGAGCCATGCATGGAACCCCAGCAGCCCAGTTAAGAACTCCTTGTCAAGAAGCATGAAAAGTGCCCAGGGGCTGCCCCAGGCCAATCAGGAGTAGCAATGAAATCTCAGAGAAGTCAGACCTACCTTAGCTGATGATTTTAACCAGCACATCCAGTGGGGAAGGAGATGGGGTTCCTTTGCCCCGTTTCTCAGGACTTTGCCCCCCAGCACCATACTGACTCACAGCTCTCCTGTTCCATTTCCAGCAGGGTTTCTGACTGATACATAGGCTCCTGTCTATGTTAGCCCAACTATTATGACTAGGACGACGGAGAGAAGGAGGATCATGGTTGTTTCTCTCTCTCTCTACCTCTGACTCTGCCTCCGCACTTCTCTGGAAAGATTGAGTTTCAGGAGTCATCCAATGAAGAAGGATGAAAGAAATGACTCAGGGTGGGCTGATGAGGCAAGAGGGGTGAGTTGCCTGTGAAGCTGTCCTATCGACAGATGGGAGGAGGGAGGTGGAAAGGAGACCAGAAAGACGAGGGGTCTTCCAGAGAGGCTCTGGCCTCCAAATAAGACTGAGATTCATGGTTGAAGAACAAAATGCAGCAGGGCTGGGAAGGGTCTGCTGAGGGGGCCCTGCAGGTCAGGCCTCTGCCTTTGAGTCCATACCATCCCACCACATCCCCGTGACGAGCTCTTCCTTCCCAGGGCCTCCCTCTGGAGCCTGACCCCCTTCTGAGGCTCTCTCTATCTGAGCAGCCTGTCCTGCATATTTGTCACCTTGGCCTCTGAGGTGTGACTCTTATCTGCAGTGCCTGGGCCTCTGGAGCCAGGCACACCCAGGCAAGTAGGAGACAGATCAGCCAGGAATGCGGGGGTTGGGGGAGGCAGGGTGAGGGAATGCCCCTGGAAAGGCCCCCATGTGGAATGTCTGCTCTCCATCTCAAGCTTCTCCCACCTGACCCTTCACCCCAGGTCTGGGCTGGGCATTCCTTTTTTGGGCTCTCAAAGCTGCGTGTACTTTCCTTATTGAAATTGTCAGATTAATCGCCCATCTCCTTTCCTGTCAAGTCAATATCTGGTCCACCATTCTACCACCAGTATCTAGCAACTTGCTTGGCATATAATAGGTACACTGCATCCAGTAGATGCCCAATCAATATTTGTTTATGAGGGAAACTGATCACACACACCCTGCACCTGGGGAAAAGGCCCCCAGCTGCATTGCGGAAGTAGCATGAGGCGCAAGACCCCTGCAGGACTGAGAGGCAGGAGGCCTGCAGTTTGCTTAAATTCCACCAGCTGTGGCTTTGGACACTCCCTTCTCCTTCCAGGCCTATTTTCTTATCTGAAACTTGGACTTGGTTGGACTTGATACTCTGTGGTTCTTAGTCCCAATATAAGACTTTTTATTTTTATTTTATTTTAAAATTTTTAATATATCTATTTTTTGAGATGGAGTCTTGCTCTGTCTCCCAGGCTAGAGTGCAGTGGCACAATCCTGGCTCACTGCAATCTCTGCCTCCCAGGTTCAAGCAATTCCCCTGCCTCAGCCTCCCAAGTAGCTAGGATTACAGGCATGTGCCACCA